AAATAAGTAAAGGAGAGGAAGAAAGAGGAAGAGAAAGAGGGAGAGTAAATGGAAATACTGCTTTATTTTGAAAAAAATTGGGTATTAATAATGGCCAATCAATGTTTCATTTAAACTAATGGGTAGGTGTGATGTGGTATTGACAAGAATGTATATTTTGTGTATTTGAAGTGGAGAGCTCTATAAATATTTATTAAGTTTACTTGTTCTGGATCTGAGTTCGAGTCCTTGATATCCTTATTAATTTTCTGTCTCCTTGAATCTAAGTCTCGTATCTGGGTGTTAGGATCGTTAGCTCTTGTTGTTGCATTGATCCTTTTACCACTATATCTTTGTTGCTTTAAAATCTATTTTATCCGATACAAGAATTGCAACTCCTGCTTCTTATTTATTTATTATTTATTTTTTCTCTCCATTTGGTTGGTAAATCTTTCTCCATCCCTTTGTTTTGAGTCTTTGTGTATCCTTGCATGTGAAACAGTTCTGGATGTAACATGCCGTTGGGTTTTGGCTGTGTCTTTTGATTGGGAATTCAGTCAATTTAAATTTAGGGTTACTGCCATTTGATGTTGACTGGCTGTTTTATCCATTTATTGGTGTAAATTCTTCTTTATGTTGGTGCTCTTTACTTTTTGGTGTATTTTTAGAAAGGCTAATACTGGTTGTTTCTTTCTGTGTGTAATGCTTCTTTCAGAAGCTCTTGTAAAGCAGGCCTGGTGGTAATAAAATCTCTGAGTTCTTGCTTGTTCATAAAAGATTTTATTTTTCCTTCAGTTGTGAAGCTTAGTTTGGCTGGATATGAAATTCTGGGCTGAAGGTTCTGTTCTTTGAGGATGTTGAATATTGGCCCCCACTCTCTTCTGGCCTGTAGAGTTTCTGCCGAGAGATCTGCTGTAAGTCTGATAGGCTTGCCTTTGTGGGTTATCTGACCTTTCTCTCTGGCTGCCCTTAGTATCCTCTCCTTCGTTTCAACCCTGGTGAATCTAAGGATTATGTGCCTTGGGGTTGCTCTTCTTGAGGAATATCTTTGCGGTGTTCTCTGTATTACCTGGGGTTGAATGTTGACCTGCTTTGCTAGTTTAGGAAAATTTTCCTGAATAATATCCTGAAGGGTATTTTCCAGCTTGGATTCATTCTCTCTGTCGCATTCAAGTACACCTATCAAACGTAAATTTGGTCTTTTCACATAGTCCCACATTTCTTGGAGACTTTGCTCATTCCTTTTTATCCTTTTTTCTCTAATCTTTTCTTCACGTTTTATTCCATTAAGTTGGACTTTGACCTCTGATATCCCTTCTTCTGCTTGAACAATTCGAGTGTTTAAACCTGTGCATACTTCTCGGAGTTCCTGTATTGTATTCTTCAGTTCCATTAATTCACTCATACTCCTCTCTAAGTTGTCTATTCTCAATAGGATTTCATCAAACCTTTTTTCAAAGTTCCTAGTTTCTTTACGTTGGGCTACAACATGTTCTTTTAACTCACCGAAGTTTGTTATTATCCATTCCTTGAAGAGTGATTCTGACATCAGGAGGCGCTCGTTCTCCATCAAGCCTTGTTCCATTGTTGATGTGGAACTGTGATCATCTTTAGAGGGAGAGGCTTTCTGACTTTGAGTATTCTCAGCTTTTTTACGCTGGTTTCTTCCCATCATTGTAAATTTATCCTCCTGTCGTCTTTGAAATTACCAACTTTCAGATTAGGTCTCTTGAGTGGACGCCAGGTTGTTAGTTCCCAGGGCCAGAGCAGCAGCGTTAAAACTGATGGTGCTTTTCTGCCCAGGATTCTCCTGTCTGGCTTCCTTCTTGTGTCCGTAGTAGGCGACTCTGCCTTCCCAGGACTCCAAACCTCAGTCAGAAGGGGAACCCGTCCCGTTTACTCTGCGCCGAGCGCTGCCGCGCCGAGGTGCCGTCACTGCCGCTGCGCCGGGCTCCGGTATTGTGCTGGGGGCCCGTGCGGGTCCTCCAAATGTGTTTACTCTGCTCCAAGAGCTGCCGCGCCGAGGTGCGGGCGGAACCGCTGCGCCAGCCACGAGAGTCACGCTGGCGACCCCTGTGTTTCCTCCACTGGGGGATCTTCTGCTCCGTGAGCAGCCAGACTTTGAAAGTGTGGCGTCCTCTAGTTCTCCGCGCTTTCCCTGAGAGCTGCAATCTCGGGATGTTAGCGATCGGCCATCTTGGATCGTTTTCCCAATTTTTGTATTGTTAAAGTAGAGACCGGGTTTCACCATGTTGGTCTCCAACTCTCGACCTCAAATCTCCACCCACCTTGGCCTCCCAAAGTGCTGGGATTACAAGTGTGAGCCACTTTGCCTGGCTGGGATCCCCCCCGCTTTTTTTTTTTTTTTTTTGAAGATAGAGTCTCGCTCTGTCACCCAGGCTGGAATGCAATGGCATGATCTCGGCTCACTGCAACTTCCACCTCCTGGGTTCAAGTGATACTCCTGCATCAGCCTCCTGAGTAGCTGGGATTATAGGCTTGAGCCACCGCACCCGGCCAGGATCCCCATTATTAACCACAGGGATGTACCCTCAGTTTGGTGCTCTCAATGGCCTTCCCAGAGTGATGAATTCATCAGGTCAAATGGAATTGAGAAACATGACGGCCTGTCTTTGACACCACATTAGGCTGAAAGAAGGAAAGCCCAGGTCCATTGTTCAAGGGTCCTACCTATTTCCAGAAAATAAAAGAGTTCTTATTTCACTGCAGGGATATAATCTGGTTCCTGCTGCTTTTATGCCTTTCTGCATCCTCAGGGCTACTTGAGGCTTTGTCGTTGTCTCAAGGACTGAGCAATAGTTTGCCACAGCGGGCCAGCTGTTAGTTGTTTTGAGACATAGCTTCACTCTGTCACCCAGGCTGGAGTGCAGTGGTGCCATCAGGGCTCACTGCAACATCTGCCTCTCAGGTTCAAGCGCTTCTCCTGCCTCAGCCTCCTGAGTAGCTGGGACTACAGGCATGTGCCACCACGCCGGGTAATTTTTGTGCTTTTAGTAGAGACGGGGTTTCACTGTGTTAGCCAGGATGGACTCCATCTCCTGACCTCATGATCTGCCAGCCTCAACCTCCCAAACTACTGGATTACAGGTGTGAGCCGCCCCACCTGGCTTGGGCCAGCTTTTACAATAAAAATGGAGCATACAATTTGAATTGCTCCCAGCTGTTTGATCTAGCCTAGTGATTTCAGAATCTCTGATTTCACTTAGATTGATGATTTCAGCCTAAAGTTTTAATCTTTCTTACTAAATCTGGCACCCTCAGAATAAACCTTAGGTAGTCTATTTTCCCCCTAATATAAAGTAGCAAAAATTCTCCCTTTAGTCTGACTTTGTAATTGCCTCATTAGTCCCATCTAGGCACTCCTCAGTCTAGTTCAGCTGACACCTAATATTAACCATCACAGGTGCCCAAACTCATGCTACAGAGTGAGTCTGCTGGGCGCACACACACACTGCCACTTGCACCTCTAACACCATCAGTCTTGGACAAGGATACAAAATGTCTGTTCTTACTACCTCTGGGAAGTGGCTGTAGGAGCCAGGGCTACCTGTGCCAGAATAGAGTCAGTATGGTTTCTGCTTTTTTGAATCACTTGCTTCCAGTTCAATTAGAGGTGCATTTGATGAATGAAAACTTCATGCCAATGCCTTTATTCTAGATTGCAAAGTAGCTTGGGAAACAAATACCCAGCATTTTTAGCTTCTGTAGTGGAGGTATGGGTCTCTCCAAATACAGGAAGCAGTGTTTAAATGCTGAGAAACCAAAAAGAATAACAAAGGGCCACTTTGGGTCAGATAATTTGACACTCACCAAAAGAAGAAATTTCTCTCTCAAACTACTCAACATTGAAAAGGGAGCATTCAAGATCTTTCTATTGGCCTAGGTGCAGTGGCTTATGCTTGTAATCCCAGCACTTTGGGAAGTGATGGGGGTGAATCACTTGAGGTTAGGGGTTTGAGACCAGCCTGGCCAACATGGTGAAACCCTGTCTCTACTAAAAAAGACAAAAATTAGCTGGGTGTGGCAGCATGAGTCTGTAATTCCAGCTACTCGGGAGGCTGAGGCAGGAGAATCGCTTGAACCTCCAATGTGGAGATTGCAGTGAGCTGAGATTATGCCTCTGAACTCCAGCCTGGGGGACAGAGTAAGACTCCTTCTCAAAACAACAATGAAAAAAGATATAGGTATAATCTCAACACCTATAATCTCAACATCTTTGGAAGGCTGAGATGGGCAGATCACTTGAGGCCAGGAGTTCAAGACCAGCCTGGACACCATGGGGAAATCCTGTCTCTACTAGATATATAAAAATTAGCCAGGTATGACGGTGGATGCCTGTATTCCCAGGTGCTTAGGAGGCTGAGGCACAAGAAATCGCTTGAACCCAGGAGGTGGAGGTTGCAGTGAGCCAAGATCACACCACTGCACTCTAGCTTGGGTAACAGAGCAAGACTCTGTCTCCCAAAAAAAAGGAGAAAAATACAAGAATTATATCTTGTTTTGTCTTTGTACTCTACTGATATGCTGAACCTAGTGCATTTTCAAGTATTAGATTTTTTTTTTTTTTTTTTTTTTTTGTTGAGACTGAGTTTCGCTCTTGTTACCCAGGCTGGAGTGCAATGGTACGATCTCGGCTCACCACAACCTCTGCCTCCTGGGTTCAAGCAATTCTCCTGCCTCAGCCTCCTGAGTAGCTGGGACTACAGGCGCCCATCACCATGCCCAGCTAATTTTTGTATTTTTAGTAGAGATGGGGTTTCACCTTGTTGACCAGGATGGTCTCGATCTCTTGACCTTGTGATCCACCTGCCTCGGCCTCCCAAAGTGCTGGGATTATAGGTGTGAGCCATCGCACCCGGCTCAAGTATTAGATTTTTATACAGATTAAATTAAAAAATATATCTCATATATTAAAATGTTTGAAAAATAATAGAGCCATAAAAGAAAATAATAAAAACAGCCTCTTTTAAAAGTTTTATTCTTAATATTTGTTGGTACAACATGCTAAACCCTCTGGGTTTATTTTGTTTTGCTTTAAGTAGAATCAATGATGGTCCCATCTCTTCGCAGGAAATTGGGTTCAGTGAGGGGCCGCTGCAGCCACACACAGTCCTTAAGTGGCAGTTCATTTCTAACTCGGAGCCTCCAGCCATCACACTAATCCTGGCAATATGAGAGTGAGAGAGCCAGATCAAAGCCCATTTGGAGAAAAAAAGAAAATAATTCCAAACTGCTCCTTTGATGTCCCATTAGGCCATTAATATACATCACATCTGTTTAATTTAAAACTTCTGCCCAGTGCTGGTATGAGTTAATTGCACACCTCTCAAGACCCAGCATTAAGTTACTGTGTGCTTGGATAGGAAACATGATTTGTGCAGTAGTTAATGATGGGGTTTAGAGTCAAGTCCATAGTCACGCATTCTCTGTTCTCTCCACCAGCCTGACTGCATGCTCCTCATAAATAACATTTTCAGTGGATGAGGGGACCGTAAATCTGTCCAGAGGTGGGACACCCTGTTCTGTTCTCTTCCTAAAGACACTGCCTTTTGATTCCCTAGAGGATAATGAGAGGTTGGAAAGTAAGTATCTTCTCTCTCAGTGGCCTATAGTCATTTCCATCTTGCCTTATTCTCTGTTATGGAATATGGGGGAGGTTGTTAGGTTCTTGACAATATCTCTAACATATAACCATAATTTAGATTATTATTTCTATTCCTCTTCCAAGCATTTTAGAGCATGGTCCTGTTTTTTGATTATAGAATGTTTTACTTTAGAGTTTTTTTTTTTTTATCAAGCTTTGAAGACACAAAGCTTTAAAATTGTATAAAGTATGCTGGGTGCAGTGGTTGACGCCTGTAATCCCAGCACTTTGGGAGGCCGAGGCAGGTGGATCACTTGATGAGTGATGGCAGCCTGGCCAACATGGCAAAACTCTGTCTCTACTAAAAATAGAAAAATTATCTGGGTGTGGTGGTATGGGCCTGTAGTCCCAGCTACTCCAGAGGCTGAGGCAGGAGAATCACTTGAACCTAGGAGGTGGAGGTTGCAGTGAGTTGAGATCATGCCACTGCACTCCAGCCTGGGCAACAGAATGAGACTCTGTCTCAAAAAAAGGACATAAAATAGCCTCATCAACTATGTTTAATTTTATCCAATGTGGAAAATACCATATCAGCCTTAGCAGATTTTAGAAAACAGCTCCTGCTTTTATCTCTTGTCTTTATAGTACAGCAGGAGAAGCAGGTCTGTATTCATGGAAAGAAACTGGAAGAAGTAACTGCAGGTGCTAGAGAGGGAAGAGAGCCATGCAAACAGGTGAGCTGGGAGTACAGGTGCAGAATGGGAGAGACCGGTGTGCATGTGTGTCCATGGATTAGCACTCTCAGGAAAGGGACTCCAATATGAGAAAACCAGCATGGTCTAAAACCATGGGCCTTGTGAACAGCACTTAGGTATCTCTGTACAAACTTTTTTTAAAAAGAAAGAAAAAGTTCATAAGGGTTTAGGACTCTTCTTACAGTCCTGAAGTGCAGCCTAAGAAGAGAGGCAACCTTTAAAAGGGGATGCAGGCCAGGCATGGTGGCTCATGCCTGTAATCCCAGCATTTTGGGAATCTGAGGTGGGCAAATCATTTAAGGTCAGGAGTGCAAGACCAGCCTGGCCAACATGGCAAAACCCCGTCTCTTCTGAAAATACAAAAATTAGCCAGGTGTGGTGGTATGCACCTGTAGTCCCACATATTGGCAGGGCTGAGGCATGCGAATTGATAGAACCCGGGAGGCAGAGTTGCTGTGAGTGCCACTGCACTCCAGCCTGGGTGACAGAGTAAGACTCCATCTCAAAAAAAAAAAAAAAGAGGAATGTAAGTAAGCTTTAGTTGACCCTGTTTTAGAGTTAGCCAACCTGGGAGACGAATGGAAGGCCTAGGGAAGAACCAGAATGATAAAGACCATAACACAGGTCAAGGTTAGCTAGTTTTCCTCAAGGTCAGTGAGCTGTGACTAATGTCAACATATTAGGTTAGAGAGTATCTTAAACTTCCACCAAACAATCCTGAAGAAAAGGAAGTGAATATTTATCCTGAGGGTGAGCGGGCTATCGGAGAGATGATGCTGGTACTGCAAACAAAAATTTCATCCAAATTTCCTGTTTGATCTTAAAAATTCATACAAATGTTGCATTTTGTTTGGTTTTTAATATAAAATATTTTAGACTAGTCACCATTCAGCAAAATTGATCCTCCAAAAAAAACCTGCATCCCTGTTAGTCTATGACTTTGCAAAGTCTGTAGGCCATTGCTATGGGAATCTCTGAGGGGGCTGTACTGTCTGTCATTTGAGACACACATGAACAGCAATTAGCTCATTTCCAAATGTTGTATATGAAAATATTGTGACTTTCGTAAAGTGTATTCATCCATTTAAACAAGTATTTTAATAACCTGCAGAATCCCAGGGAATATAAAGTTAAATTTTGGCCTGTTCTGTTCTCAGTTGAGTAGATGAGGCTTTGCATGACTCCTTTGCTGCAGGAGATGCTTAGTTCAATCAGAGGCATTGCTCATTCTAAAATTTGATCCAAATCTAGAGTTAGTGTTAAATGACACCATATGTTTCCTCTGGTTAAATAAGGTCAATAATTCATGTTCCTTTTTGTGTCAGAAAACTGAGATATTTTAGTCTATTCATGTTGAAAGAACACTAATTGTGAATTTAAAAAAACATGGAGAGGGAGTATGGCCCTAAGTCTGTACTTGGCCTGACTGCTCATCTTGTCTTCAGAATTCTGGGGTATATGAGGTGTTACTATAAAGATACAAGTCTGCTTTTTAAAAAATCTTATTTTATTTATTTTGTTTTTAGAGATAGGAGCTCCCTGTGTTGTCCAGACAGGTCTCCTGGGCTCAAGGGATCCTCCCACTTTGGCCTCCCAAAATGCTGTGAGCCAGTGTGCCCTACCACAAGTCTGCTTTGCTTTCTTTCTTTCCTTTTTTTCTTTTTAAACTTACCTTATTTAAAAAAACAAAATAGAGACAGGGGGTCTCACTTTGTTGCGCAGGCTGCTCTCAAACTCCTAGGCTCAAGCAATCCACCTACCTCCACCTCCCAAAGTTCTGGGAATACAGGTATAAGCCACCATGCCCATCTTGCTTTCCTTATGGCCTAAAGTAAGGAAAATAAAATACTTTGAGAAATGATGACATTGTTAAATAAACATTAACAAGAAAAGACAATACTCACTTGAATATACAAAATTTTAAAATCATCAGTACCTAAATGAATGTCAGACTTAAGCACAAATTCCTTCCTTCAAAAAATGAAAAATCATACTCAGGCCTCTTTGATCATTAAAATGATCTCAAACTCCCTATACTATCCAATAATTATTTTGTATGAAAATATGTGGAAGATGAGGGAATTGATAAAGATAAACATTTCTTAATTGAATATAAACAATTTAAGAGTTCCAGAATTCCCTGAGTAAATTATATCTACATATGTGTGGGTTAAACCTGGCAGAAAAAAGATGGTAGGTGCAAAATGCAGTTATTTGCTTAAAAAATCTTTCTGCGTGAGTAGCTCCAATGTATAAAAGATCAAAAGAAGAACGTTTTACCTGCTTGTTTCCAATGCCTCCAACTTACCTGAATGGAAGTTCTCCTCTGACTTTTTCTGGAACAGTCCCTCATAAGTCAAGGAGACAGTTTACAAGCTGGAAGGTTTCCCTTCATAACTGCGAAGGGAACTTCTTCACCCCACATCATGGTTCAATGTGTCAGGTACTGACAGAGAAGGATAGAATGTCTCTGACTTAAGGAATTCATAATCTAACAGGGGAGAAGGACAAATAAATAGGTAAGTTAAAAAATGTCAAGTTCCCTGTCAAGCTAGAAAAGTGTAGGGTGTCTTGGAGAACAGAAGAGGGTGTCCAGAAAGTCAAATGCAGAGCAGATACAGAAGCCAGGAGTTGGGGTCCAAAATGCACAGATGGATGTCCTGATCAGATCTCCAGAATCCTACAGAGAACTTGCTTCACACAGGGTGGGTCAGTTTCAACCCATGGGAATGAACAAAGACGGGGAGAGCATGGAGAGCAGCTTCCAGAGCAGAGGGAGGAAAACATTCCCCAAGGAAATACTAGATTCCTGAAATATGTCCAGCCCTTGTGGAAAAGATGTAGTTCGGGCTGCAATTCAAGTAAACTTCGGAGAAGCTTCAAAAGCTCCGACTTGGCAATTCAAATCAAAGGGCTCTTCCAAGCTCTTCCTATTCAACTGCAACTTCTAAGGCAAAGTCATTGTTTATAGCCTGGCGGAGTTGGAAGAGTCTCCAAAAACACAACTTGCCTTGACAGTTGGAGTTTATAACCACCCTCGGACTTTAATGAGAGGCAAGACTGAGAAGCTTCCAGAACCACGGCCTGCTTGGCTTCTGCGAGGCTAGGGGGAACAGCGGGTCCTAGATTTGGGACGACCCCTCTGCGGTGAACACCTCCCCCTCGTTCTCGTGTGCCACGCCTCCAGGCCACCTGGAGCTGAAGTTTCGCTGCTTTCCACGGCATTTCCGGAATGCTGGGGCATGCCCTGTCAATCCTGCACGCCCTGCGGCCCCGCTGCGCTCTCCACGGGGGCGGGGCTCGGAGTAGGCGGGGTACGGGGTGGGCGGGGCTCCAGGCAGGGTGGGTGGGGCCTCTGCATGAAAACCTGCCTGTACTTTGGGCCAGAGCTTGGATCGCCGCCCAGCCAGCTCCAGCAGCCCCAACCAACCCCCGCACTCAGAAGGCAGCGCCGCTCGGCTGCTGCAGAGGGCATTGCGGCGACTTGGTGACAATTTTGTACTGCCTGCTGTTTATACCTTGCTCAAGTGACTGGACTCTTGAGATTCAGTTTCCTTATTCACAAGATGGGGTTGATGATTGTTAAATTTCACAGCTGTTTGAGTATCTATATTGTTGATGTGCCAAGCATTGACAGATTCTCATAAGTACTCGTTTCTTTCCTTTTTCTTTCCAAATTCAGTCTGATTTGGCAAATAGCTACCAAGGGTTTACTTGTTTCTAATCACTGGGGATTTAATGGCAAAATAGCCCTCAAGAAGGTTATTGTCTAGTGTAGAAGACTGACAGTTAAACGGGCAGTGGGAAGTGCTGCTAGGGCGGAATTGCTGGGTGTTGACTAGGTAGAGGGGGCTGTGGAGGAAGAGCACGTGTCAGAGAGGTGGGATGAGAGCAAGGACACGGAGAAGCTGGTAGAACAGATCCTCTGGAAAGGTAAAGCTGGATCATGGGGCCAGATCATGAAAGAATTTCCAAGTTATAAAATTCTAATGGCTATAGATTTTTATCTTGAAGCAGAGAGGAAACATTGAAGTATCTTAAGCAAGAGAATTATGTGATGTAATTTGGATTTTCAAAAGATTCCTCTGGATAGAGATCAAATAGATGCAAGGCACAGTTTAGCTCCTAAGCTCATTATTAGCAGCTTCATTTGAGGGTCACATAAAGAATTCCACTAGAGTCTAAAGTAGTTGGAATTTTTCAGGTCAGGCCATGTAATTCTGAATTCTCAGAAATGACTAGAAGGTTTGGTTAGTTTTTTCTCTATAACTGGAACTGAGTTGGGTTTTAATATCCCCTCTATAAGCTAGGCTTGATTCCAAACCAAATTGTATTACTCAGTTGGAAAAATAAAACTTTTTTACCTACATTACTCAACTGCCTTTTTGTAAACTTGCTTTCTCACTAACCTCCACGTGCCCAGCTTCTGGGATCCAGAAGCCAGGAGGCAATGAAAAGTGTTATCAGGTTTGCCTAAGACCAGCGCCTCCCTAAAGATGTTCTGGAGACAGAGCTTAATCAGGTGGAGTTGGGCAGGGCTGAGGTTTCAGGCTCAGGCTTGCAGGCTGGTTTGGGGTATTAAAAGCCTAAACAAGTTAGTTGGGTTGTTCTTCTCCCTTCAGTTCCTGTTAGGTGATATGTGAATTGGTTATGTTTTTATTTTAATGATTCACCCTTGAACATTGCTTTTGAAACAGCAGTTTGCAGGATTAGCGAATAACCATGCTGTCATCCCTATTTAAACCCAGTGAACAGTGATTTAATCTCAGATGTGCTCAGTGTAGGCTTCAGGTTCTGTCTGTCTACCCCTATCATTGCATGGGACGGGTGACTGAGCTGGTTTGGGGATGAGTTAATTGGCTCCTCATCAGAGTTCCTCCAGGTGGGCAAGTTTTAAAAGAGTGAGTCTTGTCAGCACCAACTCCTTTTATGTGTGTGGTTGTATGAGGCAGAATGCAGGTCTGGAATTTAGGCCCGAATTGCTCCTAATTTGTTTAGTGATTTGGAATTGCTCTTTCCATTCTCTGAGGCTTAGTTATAAAATGAGAGTTTGGTAAAATACTGGAAGTTTCCTTCGAGTTCTAGTGGGGTCCTGGTTATCAGCAGTCAATGTCAAATCCCTTGTGTGAAGATTTAAAGGCATAATGTGAAACTATAAATATCCTCAAATACTCCTCTGGGTCTACATCTTTGCCTCTCAAACAGTCTCTTTGTCATCGCAAATTGATTTCTAAATGAAATTGTAAATATTGACAAATATACAGGATTACCTCAAGCTGATGACAGTAATAACGGAGATAGCAAACTCTGTACAAACGAGGATCTTGCTAGGGAAAGCTGAAGTACCTAAAAGCTAAAGAAAAAAAGAAATCAACAAGAATGATGACAAGGTAAGGGCTTTAAAAGAGAATGATTAGATTAGCAAAGGATTAATAGAGACATTTAGAAAAAAAATGGCAAAGCCTATTTACATTTTAATAAAAATGACAAGTCAAACATAGTGAAAAATATCTGAAAAGTGATGTCAATATAAAAGAGTAAATACTTGATCTATTGGAATTATACATATATACTTGTTTTATAATTTCATTGTGTTTTTCAAAATGAAATCCAAACTTTTTTCTATGATATTTTGGCTTCCCCTTAGTGTCCATTTTGAATGGCTTTTTGGGAAATCACTATTTCCTGTATTTATTAATCTTCAATTTGTTTTAAGAGGGACGTAAGAGGTCTAACATTCTGTATTGAATACCAGTATAATCTAAACACTGTTGCCAAAGAAATCCATTTTTTAATACCTCTCATGCTTCTAATTTAAAAATATATTTTGCCTATTAATTGGCTTTTTTTTTTTCTTTGAGATGGAGTTTCACTCTTGTCACCCAGGCTGGAGTGCAATGACACAATCTCGGCTCACTGCAACTTCAGCCTCCTGGGTTCAAGGGATTCTCTTGCCTCAGCCTCCCAAGTATCTGGGATTACAGGCATGTGCCGCCACACCTGGCTAATTTCTGTATTTTTAATAGAGACAGGGTGTCACCATGTTGGCCAGGCTGGTCTCAAACTCCTGACCTCCTGAGGGTGATCCACCCACCTTGGCTTCCCAAAGTGCTAGGGTTATAGGCATGAGCCACTGAGCCTGTCCTAATTGGCATTTTTAAGAGTAGTAGCTTTCCCCAAATTAAATAAATAGTATATATATTATTCATTTTATAAATTATATGTTTGAATTACATGTAAATTTTATACATGTTATATACTGGATGTATGACAATCATGGATACATGACTATATAACAATTTCATATACTTTTTTTCTTTCTAATTTTATTTAGGTTTGGGGGTACATGTGTGGGTTGTTACATGAGTAAATTGCGTGTTGCGGGGGTTTAATGTACAGATTATTTTTCTTTTTTTTTTTTTTTGATGCAGAGTTTCGCTCTTGTTGCACAGGCTAGAGTGCAATGGTGCGATCTTGGCTCACCACAACCTCTGCCTCCCAGGTTAAAGCAATTCTCCTGCCTCAGCTTCCTAAGTAGCTGGGATTACAGGCATGTGCCACCACACCTGCCTAATTTTGTATTTTTAGTAGAGATGAGGTTTCTCCATGTTGGTCAGGCTGGTCTCGATCTCCCAACCTCAGGTGAGGCACCCACCTGAGCCTCCCAAAGTGCTGGGATTACAGGCGTGAGCCACTGCACTGGCAGTATACAAAGTATTTCATCACTCAGGTAATGAGCATAGTATCTGATAGGGAGTTATTTGGTCATCACCCTCCTCTACCTTCCACCCACAACCTATTATTCCCTTCCTTGTGTCTATGTGTATTCAGTGTTTCGCTCCCACTTATAAGTGAGAATATGGGGCATATACTTATTTCTGTTTAGTATCACAAACAGTGGCTATAATCATAGCTTAAAGTGTTCCTCTTACCTAAACCATCTTCAGTGTTGAACATTGTAGGATTGGAGCAGGGAAAAGGCTTCCAGGATAGATGGACACCCAGGGTTTCAGACATGGGATCGAAGCTGTGGAGGAGCGGGAGGGTATGACAATAAAACTCAGAGAATAATAGCTGTGACTGGCCTATTGAGCAAAGGTCTGAGTAAATCTTTTCAAGTCCAGAGAGGAAAGAGGAGTAGAAGGCATTCTTAATTTATGCCCAGCCTACCACAGTATTGGTTTGGGAACTGGTTCAGGTCTGAGTAACAGTGAGAAGAGGGAGCATAGGAGAATAGGAAAAGCATCAGGTTTGAGTTGGTGGGGAATATATGATAAGGAGTGACATCCAATTCCCTGGCATGCTCAGGGGAACTAAATTTATGAGTTTATGCCAACAATTCTTTTTTTTTTTTTTCCCCTAGATGGAGTCTCGCTCTGTCAGCTAGGCTGGAGTACAGTGGCATAATCTTGGCCCACTGCAACCTCTGCTTCTCGGGTTCAAGTGATTCTCCTACCTCTGCCTCCCAAGTAGCTGGGATTACAGGCACATGCCACCATACCCAGCTAATTTTTTATATTTTTGGTAGAGACAGCATTTCGCCTTGTTGGTCAGGCTGGTCTCGAACTCCTGACCTCAAGTGATCTGCCCGCCTTGGCCTCCCAAAGTGCTGGGATTACAGGCATGGGCCACTGCACCCGGCTGTCAGCAAATTTTTTTCTTTCATCTTTCTTTTTTGTCTAGATATGTTTTCTCTTTTCCTTTATCAGTGACTCACAGGCATCTCTTTCACAGTACTCATGAAACTAGCATATTTAGGCCCAGTGTGGTGGTCAGTGCCTGTAATCCCAGCTACTTGGGTGTTTCAAACCACCATTTTCCCAATGACCCAAGCTAGAACTGTGACGTTATCCATGATTCTTACCTCTACCTTGCCCCTTCCATCCAATCATTGTTTCAATATGTATTTATTAAGGCTCCAGTAAGTGCCAAGCACTGTTTCTGGATGTGGAAGGATAGAACGGTGAACCAAAGTCTTCACCCTAACACAACTCACATTCTATCTCATTCTAGTGAGGGACACAGTCAACCTATGCAGATATAGATTTTATTGTCAGATATCCACAAGTGCTATACAGAAAGGGTACTATAAATAAGGGTGCTATAAGCAAGTGCTATAAGTAAGGGTAAGGAGATGAAGAGTGGGGAGCTATTTTAGGAAATCAGACCATATCTGTTAATTTCATCTCCTAGAAGTCTCCATACCACGTCTTTCCA